TACTAAATTTTGTAAAATTTCGTAGCATGTGAATGGATAGAGCTAAAAACTTGAAAATTGATAATCGAGTTAAAGTTGAGAAGTAGGGTCGATATAAAGGAGGTGGTTTTGTAAGGGTGTAATCATATACAGTAGATATGGGATATAAGAAACTCAAAAAAAGCCGGAGATTTCTTTCTTATATGCGTTTTTTCTTAAATGGAATTATCGGGTATAATAAAGTATAAGCTCGGTGTTTTTGATAATCTTTCTTATATGCGATTTTTTTTTATATGAGATGTGCTTATATCCGATATCTACTGTATACGAAAAGTACTAGACAGTACTAAATTTGGTACAATTTGAATTTTGGGGAAAATTTGGGCTGGAATCCTGAAATTTGAAATTAACATTACCGTCGTAATGTAGCGGTATTTCAGTCGATTTACAAATATTTGGTACAATTTGGATTTTGGGTGAACCAACAGACCTGGGATTCTGAAATTTGGAGTGGGGATATGTAGGAAGTATTGGAAAATTGTACTAATGTGTACTAAATGTTACCAAATGTGTTGGAGTGTTGTAGGATTGGGGTATGGATGTAGTTTTGGAAATTCATACTTATGAGTACTATATTGTACTACATTTGGTACAATTTGAATTTTGGGTGAATTGATCTGGGATCCTGAAATTTGAAGTAAGGATCATTGTTGGGGTATAAGATTGCGATCTGTAGGAAATTTTGGAAATTTCTATTAATGAGTACTAAATGGTACCAAATGTTGATTTGATAGATAGAGCTGGAATCTTGAAATTTAAAGTTAGGATCACTGTTGGGGCGTAGAATGGGCAATATACACGAAGTTTTGGAAATTGGTATTAAATTTCGTAAAATTATATTATGGTGAAGCAATCGACCTGGAATCCAGAAATTGGAAAATATATTTCTATTGGATTTATATCAATGTGTACTAGGTGCAAAGCTAGATTTGTGTTGCGAGCAATTTTTGTGATTTTGTGTGTGTACGTTGATTAGCTCTTCTAACAGATGTAGTGCTCTGTGAAAACAAAATAATATATTCATTCGTCAAAGAATTAGCGGGCATATGCTAGTAAGTTAATATTAGAACATATCCTTCATATAAAGTTTCCATCCCATTTAGGAATTTTAATGGGCTTAGGTGCATTTCCCGATACGATTGTCAACCGAAGAGGCTGTAATTTGTGTTTTTCTATGCTCCATATACAATTCTGGCCCTATTATATGAATTTTGAATGCTCACCCAATGTTAGATATAAAAAATTCGATCTGACCGAAATTAACGAAGTTCTTGCTTGTTGTCATTGTGTTGTAGAATTGCATAGCAAGTTTTAGAGGTTGGGACTTTTTGGAAAGAAAAAACTTCCCCAATAAATAATAGTATAAACAGGTCTTCAACGGTAATACCCATATTATCTTAGTTATTTTTAAGAAGTATATGACAATTCGGGGTCACATCGAATCCTGTAATAAAGGCACCCATGAAAGCTGTAATAAAGGCACCCATGAGCTAATAAAGGATTGGATGCGGTGCTCAGAATGTGCAGAGCCTGTATCACAGTGTACAATTTCCAAAAGGTTTTCTTCAGAAAAAAATTAAATGTACAATCTGCATCACATAAAAGCAAATTCTTAATGACATCGTGTTTATGCTTTTTAATTTGTTTTCGTTTAATTCGTTTTTTACTTTTCAACGATTTGACCTATTTCAGAACAATTTCGGTGGAGCTCGAAAAATAAATTGCGCAGTAAAAATTCAATATGTATGATAATAATTTGATTGACGGGTCTTATTTTTATAACAAACTAAATGACTAAGTGCAATAAATATTTCTAACCTAATCCCATCAGAAGAAGCCTTGCTCTCAAGCTAAAACTCCATTCAATTAAAAATTATTTTCTCAAGATTTAATACTTATCTAAAATAACATTTAAATTTAGCAACATCTGTTACTGGTCTTCCATCCCGCCCCCTATTTTGTTTTTGTTCATCCTCTTGTACATGTTATTTTTTATTTTGTAAACAATTGTCATTATCACACTGGGTCTTCAACTGATAAACCCCATGTATGTGATGTTGTTGTTGTTTTATATTAATAATTTATTAATATATATTTATTTTTCTTGTCTACTTTTCTCTAGGTAGTTGAACACTACGAAAATCCACGTAATGTTGGTTCTTTAGATAAAAAAGACTCGACCGTTGGTACCGGCCTCGTTGGTGCCCCCGCCTGTGGTGATGTGATGAAATTGCAAATTAAAGTAGACGAGAATGGTAAAATCATCGATGCTAAATTTAAAACCTTCGGTTGTGGTTCAGCCATTGCCAGCAGTTCTTTGGCCACCGAATGGGTAAAAGGCAAGACCATCGATGAGGCTGGTAAATTGAAAAATACCGATATTGCCAAGGAGTTGCGTTTGCCTCCCGTCAAGCTACATTGCTCCATGTTGGCTGAGGATGCCATTAAAGCTGCTCTGGCCGATTACAAAGTCAAACAGCAAAAGAAGAAGGATGACAAATAAATGTTTGTAAAATAAACGAAAAAATCAGCCTACTGGAGAAATGATTTTTATTTATTTTGTCTTCAAAGCGACATAACAAACAAACAAAACGAAAATTATCTAGTTATTTTTAGTACTCATAGGGTATGCTCATAGTTTAAAGTTGTTGACTAAATATTTTTGTAGAAAATGAAAAAAAATATGTGAAAAAGGGCTTTCATGGAAAGTTTTCTTTAACGATAACTATTTAAGATTGAAGATATACAATAAGGACTACAAATATTTTTTGTGTATGAGCGTTTGGAGAAGTAAAAGCTTAAGTCTGATTTAATAATGTACAAGAGAAACAGAACGTTGTCATATTTAAATTAAACAAAACGTCAATGAAGAAATATGAAAACCGTTTTGCATATTAAATAAAAAACACAGCTTTTTCTTCTTTCTAAGCCTGACATAAAAATAAAATAAATACAAAAATAAAAAATATATGCTTTAACTGTTAAAAAAAAACAAAAACTTTTTATTGTTGTTATTTTTCATGCATAAACCAGTAAGGAAAGTAGTAAAGTCGGACGGGGCCGACTATATGATACCCTTCACCACTATGGGTATATTACACAGGACTATTAGCATGAAATTGGATGAAATAAAATATGTGATATTTATCTAAATGTGAATCTACCTAGATCTATCCATAAAGTATGTAAATCGACTTCAAACAAATTTAAATAGGTCATCCGTAGGGCTATATCTGTACTTCTAGAAAACGCAACTATATAATTTTATGCCCAATTTTGTACGATGTGCAAACTTTGATGTCAATCTGTCTAACATGAGGAGTTTGATGACAAATTACACTTGAAATCGGGCGAAAATATATATGGTGCGTCAATTACTTAAAATCAATCTATAATAAAAGGGGCTATATCTATCTAAATCTGGACCGATTTTCACGAAACTTGGCAGACATCATTTTAGACCTAAATGATCAGGCTGTACCAAATTTCGTGCAAATCGAAAGATATATAGGGACTTTGGTGCACCATTTACATGAAATCGGACGAAATTATATATGGGAGCCATATCTAAATCTGGACCGATTTTCTCGAAAGTTGGCAGACATCATTCTAGGCTCAATTCAGTACGTTATGCCAAATTCCGTGCAAATCGAAAGATATATAGGGACTTTGGGGCACCATTTACATAAAATCATACGAAACTATATATGGGAGCTATATCTAAATCTGGACCGATTTTCTCAAAACTTGGCAGACATCACTCTAGGCTCAACTCAGTACGTTATGCCGAATTTCGTGCAAATCGAAATATATATAGGGATTTTGGTGCACCATTTACATGAAATCGGACGAAACTATATATGGGAGCTATATCTAAATCTGGACCGATTTTCTCGAAACTTCGTAGACATCATTCTAGACTCAATTCAGTACGTTATGCCCAATTTCGTGCAAATCGAAAAATATATAGCGACTTTGGTGCACCATTTACATGAAATCGGACGAAACTATATATGGGAGCTATATCTAAATCTGGACCGATTTTCTCGAAACTTGGCAGACATCACTCTAGGCTTAATTCTGTACGTTATGCCAAATTTCGTGCAAATCGAAAGATATATAGGGACTTTGGGGCACCATTTACATGAAATCGGACGAAACTATATATGGGAGCTATATCTAAATCTGGACTGATTTTCTCGAAACTTGGCACACATCATTCTGGACCTAATTCAGTACGTTATGCCAAATTTCGTGCAAATCAAAAGATATATTGGGACTTTGGGGCACCATTTACATCAAATCGGACCAAACTATATATGGGAGCTATATCTAAATCTGGACCGATTTTGACGAAACTTGGCAGACATCATTCTAGGCTCAATTCAGTACGTTATGCCAAATTTCGTGCAAATCGAAAGATATATAGGGACTTTGGGGCACCATTTACATGAAATCGGACGAAACTATATATGGGAGCTATATCTAAATCTGGACCATTTTTACGAAACTTGGCAGACATCATTCTAGACTTAAATGATTAGGCTGCACCAAATTTCGTGCAAATCGAAAGATATATAGGGACCGTTTACATTAAATCGGTTAAATATATATATGGGAGCTATATCTAAATCTGAACCGATTTTTCCCAATTTCAATAGGGTTCGTCCTTGGGCCGAATAAGTGACCTATGCCAAATTTCATCCAATTCGGATCATAAATGCGACCTGTACTTTGTTTACAATTTAACATGGACAGACAGACGGACAGACGGACAGACGGACAGACGGACGGACGGACGGACGGACATGCATAAATCGACTTAGAAAGTGATTCTATGTATATTCTCAAAAGGAACCATGGGTCTATCTCGATTATTTTTGCCTGTTACAAACATATGCACAAAGACATAATACCCTGTACCACAGTGTGGTGAAGGGTATAAAAATGTTAGATACAAGAACCATTTAAGATAGACGGACACTGACATTGCCACCACATTCTCCCTTAGATTTCATCTCATAGGCTGTAAAATTGGATTTAAAAGTTTAAAATATTTATTTTTTTATTTTCGTTATTACAACAAAAACTTACGATCATCACTGTGCTGACAATTATAGTTGCCCATAACACATTCATTGCCAAAGGTCAAAAGTCTCTCCTTATTGCCATTTTTAGCCTTGGCACAAATGGGTTCATATTTCTCACCACAATTTGCCGAACATGCAGGAGCCTGTTTGTTTTTGGCTGGTGTAGCAACGGCTAGAGCAACCAGGCAAATTACTGAAATTAAAAAAGTAAGAAATTTCAAAAGTTTGTAATTATAGATTCAATTTTCCAAGGTTATATCGAAAATAAATTTATTATTCTATTTTTAAATGATCTATTAGAACCTATTTTTAAAGAAAACGTCTTTTATAAAAAATTGGATTTAAGAGAATTATTTTTTAACATCCATCAGAAGCGTGTTGTTGTATGTATGTTTTTGTGAACCATTAAAGCATGGAATTTGTTATGAACAATTTTTTTTTCAACATCCAACAGAAGCGTGGGGTTTTTAAAAGTTTTTTGTTAACAAAAGCATGGATTTTTTGAAGATTTTTTTTCAACAGAAGCGTAGATTTTTTAAAGATTATTTTTCAAAAGAAGCGTGGATTTTTTTAAAGATTTTTTTCAACAGAATCGTAGATTTTTTAAACATTCTTTTTCAACAGAAGCGTGGATTTTTTAAAGGTTTTTTTAAAAGAAGCTTGGAATTTTTTCAACAAAAGCTGGAATTTTTAAAGAGAAATTTCAACAGAAGCGTGGAATTTTTTCAACAAAAACCTGAATTTTTTAAGAAAAGTTTCAACAAAAGCGTGAATTTTTTAAAGAAAAGAAAAAAAAATCATTAGAAGCGTGTAATTTTTTCAACAAAACAATCCTAGGATGGTTGGTATAGAAAATATCGGTATATCGGTCCAAGTTTGGTATAGACCCCATATAACGAACGGTACCACCAAATATTCGGTATCATGGGGATTTTTGACACGTTTTTAAACCGAATTGGCTGTAAATGGCTACGTTTGGTTCTGATTGGGTATCAAAACTTACTACCGAAAATTACCTTTATTGGTCAACTTTTTAGGTTAGCCCTCCCCTATTTCAAATGTAATAATTTCACTTTGGCTCTCAGATCTGCTTACGAAAAATTTTCAAGATTGGCTTATGTTGTGGGGTAGCTATTCTTCTTCCTGTGGAAGAGCTGCGGATATACTTCTTCCCGTGGAAGAGCTGCAGCTATTATTCTTCCTATGAAAGAGCTGGAGGTATTCTTCTTATAGAAAAGCTAGAGGCATATTTCGTCCTATAGGAGAGCTGGAGGTCTTCTCTTCCCATAGGAGAACTGTAGGTATTTTTCCTGCTGGTATACTTCTTCCTGTGGAAGAGCTGCAGGTCTTCTTCCTGTGGTAGAGGTGCAGATATTATTTTCGATATTTTAATGGTTTTTTGGCATATGTTTCAACTTAATTGGTCGTAATTTGTTATTTTAGGTTGTGGTGTGGTAGTAAATCTTCCTACAAATATTGGCCACCTTTAAGGGAAGCCGCCATATAACGCAACATCCCAATGGTCCGTATTTTAGGGAGCTTGGAAACGTGATTTAACCAAATTAGCTGTAATTTGATATTTTCGATTCCCATTGAGTAGAAAAATCTGTCTACCAAATATTATCAATATTGGTCCAAGTTTCCGAGTAGCCCCCATATAATGGTACACCCATTATTCGGTATCTTGGGGTGTTTTATAGACAACTTTTTTAATGAATTGACCCCAATTTGATTTTTTGGGTTCCCATTGGGAAGATTTGACATCTTCTTATTAAAAATTATCAATGTTTGTTAGTTGGTATAAAGAGTTCTGTAAATAGTATTTTTCCCACGTTCATCAGATCCATGCACTTTAAAAAAATTAGTTTTAAAAAATGAACTTTTTAGTAATCCTCTAAAAAACATTATTTTTTTAAGTTTCAAAAGGTTGTCTGCAGATTAGAAACATTTGAAGAGGTCCTCTGCAGACCGAAGATTATTTGAAGATGTCATTTGTTGATGAAGTCCTTTCAAGGAGACTTTTTTAGAAAGATTTTTCATTGACAAAATATTATTCAATATATAGTTTTTTTTTTAAATTGTTTCTTTTAAGAGGTATTCTATATTTTTTAATTCCGTTCAATAGTTTTTCTGTGAAAAAAATACATATCAAACATTTTTTAATATCACTGATATTTGAACATATTGTTGACTAGTGTAATAAAATGTCCAACTTTAATTAATTTTAATTGCAAATGTAGAACACTCTGGATTTGTATTGTTGTTCTTTTATTTTCTCAAATAATTATAATTTAAACGTCCACAGAATTAGTCATCAAATGAGTGAAAAATTGACCAAACCAACAACAAACACAATAATTTTTGCACACAGTCAATTAAAAAAAAAACATGGAGGTAACTTAAATTTCGTTAATGTTATCGTAAACATTTTTCAATTGAAACAATTAAAAATTTAACTACATAGAAATGTCGTACACACATAATTATCAGGTGATTTAAAATTCGTTCAGTTTCATTAATGATTTACAATAATAATTAAAACCGAATTAGGCTAGAATCTTTAAATGTACATAAGATTCAATATTACTATACTATAAAAATTGATATCAATTAATATTTACCCAAGAATAATCCCAAAGCAAAACGCATCTTTGATTTTCTTTGAATATCGTCGTCGTACAGAAAATAAATCACAGCTGCTGAAAACAAGTTCAAAGCGAGGTTACACTTCTCAATCTCAACTAAACCTGAAAGCTTGTCAGTTGTTGATTTTATACACGCAAATTAATGATCACAAAAGGCAACCGGCCAAAGCCCGGCCGAGTAAACTAATCGACCGTACCGACAAAATAAACAATGAAAGCTTTAAATCCAAAACAATAATACAAACAAAAAAATATAAAATAAAACAAATTATGGACATTACGTGCCCGAGAGAGATTTTGTGATGATGTTTGATGTGTTTTTTGTTTTTGCCATCATATTTGTTTGTTTGCCTTCCAGTCTTTTCCCCAAGCTGTATTGTTGTTTCCACGAAATATCTTAACCCTTTGACGATGTTTATCATATATTAGAGACATTAATTTCTGAACTCTTGCCAATTGACTTTCCCATGATTAAGGTACCACATTTGACCGCTACCCCCATACATTCCATGTATGGGTCACTAGAGTCTAGCTCAAGCGAGATAGGTCTGTACTGGACAGAATGGTGCAATAGGAATGCTAATCCTCCACCTCTTGTACGATCCTTTCTAATCACGTTGTATCCATCACAACTCTGAAGACTGCAGGTGTTGTTCAGCTTCCTTTCTTGGATCGCAGCGACCGTAATACTTTTTCGACTCATAAAATCCACTATCTCGTTGATTTTCCCTGGGTTGACACCCCTTGGTCGGAGGTTGATTCCTCTGAGTCAATCCGGTGCATAGAACCGGCCGTCGTGGGATTGTTACCGCTTCTTGCTACCTAGGTTGCAATTTTGTAATTCATCTCAGGTTGTCGCATCTTGTATTGTTACACCACGCTAACAAATATTATATCCACGCCTATTGTTGGAAAAAATATTCCATGAAAAATCATGAGTTTCGCGCTGTTGTTGGAATAAAATATTATATTAACAATAAAGGACTGTGATCCATTCTTTGGGTGTTGCAAAAATATTCCTTCAACATTTATTCAGCTTTAGGCGTTGAAATGTTTTTTAATACACGCTTCCAGTGGCAGTTCTACATTCTTTAAAAATCCAGGGTTAAAAATATTATTTTAACAAGTAATGAAGTCGGCACATTCGAAGTTGTATACGTCCTAACACAAGAACATTAAAAATAACGAAAACGTATCCCGACTATTGTAAGAGGGATATGCAAGCTTAAAGATCTGCAAGGAGAAAACAAAATCGATTAGCAAATAATATCTTGAAAATAGATCCCTCAATTCCAAATTACGATCACTACATTGTTCCTACCACCAACAAAATACCTATAAAGAAATTCGACTTTAATTTGGCCACCCAATAAGAACTTAAAATATGCAATTGGAGTCAACTAGGTTGAAAAACAAGTCTGACGTTTACACTATGAAATTGATATTTGAGATCGAGGGTATTTCGTGGTATAAACGTGCCTTGCATTATTGTACCATATGCAATGGATAACTTCAGGTGAATAACATTTATATTTTGATTTGACAGAACAGTCCACTTTGAAAAAAATGTAATCAGCTGTTTGATATGCCCTACCTTATTAGCTATGTCCTACAATGTAATAGAAAAAAGTAAGGCTTTTAATTTCATTTACTAAATCACAGAACAGAACTTAAAGTAGAAGTATTTATTTAATTTTTTTTAAATTTTCCATAAAATGTGCCATTGATCCGAGATTCAGGTGTTATATTATCTTCCCCATTTAATGTCATTTCTTCCAAATATTCTTCTTGAATTTCTTCATAAAGTTGTTGACGAGTATGCTGCAGAACAATTTCCAATTGATAGTTTCGATAAACACTATACACCAATGCCAGGGAAAATGTCTGGAAACCTAAAAAGATATCAAGAATATATTTAAGGAAAAGACTCAAAAATTTTCATATTCATTTAAAACTTACCAAAAATAATAAAAAGTATAACAAAAAACACAACTGCATGTGACACACCTTCAAAAGAGGCTTTTAAAAAGATATCATCCAAAATAACAATACTGCTATAAATCAACACCACAAATGAACCCAAAAGCCAAGGGGCCATACAAGCGGGGCGTTTCTAATTAAAAAAAATATTGTTCTTAAACCTTCTTCATAGTAAATATTTTGTTTAATTCGTCTATACCTTCATAATGCCCCATATAAGTAAAACCGATAGTAATGCCATTATAACACACATTATCGTATAGATCGTACAATACAGTTCTCGATATTCCCGTTGTTCATAACTCCTATAAATATCCCGGTAATCATCATAGTCATATTGTGCAAATCGATCATATTCCAAATTTTCAAGAATAACAGCAGCAACCATAGAATAAATGAAAATATTCAGACATCCAATGATAATGGCAGTTTGGGTGCGATTAAACCAGGACAACATTGTTTGCCAGAGAAGTAAAATATTCGATTGGGTGCTAACTGACAGATGTGTGTATTATCATCGCACCGAACTCTGAGAATAAACTAAATTTAATTAAGCTCACAACGCAATGTCTTGCGGTAAATGTATTCATAATTCATTATCAAAAAATACCGAATCGTGTGAGTGAGATGTTCAGAGATGCCACTATAAGATTCCAAGATGTCGGAAATAATCTAATCTTAAGTTGGGCCATGAAGAAAATTGCCTTTAAATAATTTGAGCCTCTGTAATTTTGGATTTGGGAAACGTTTTCTTTACATTGTCCATGTTTCTGTTGTTTTTGAAAAAAATCTCTTTAGATAAAAAACCTTTTAAGGAGTTTAAGGACGTCGTTACATCCCAGTTTTAATCAGTTATATGTGTGGACACCTGTCTTTAATTGAGTTCCGGAATAATAAGTCTAAACCCAGTAGAATGCGACCGCCTGGTGTTGATATTAAGGGCGGAGTCGTTTAATATTTGGCTTTCTTGTATACCTTGCCTTGATAAAAATGTATTATTTTAAACCCCTGAGCTTTTTTTTGTCCCTGAGAAAATATTAAAAAACAATATCCACCCTTGCGGAAATATTATTATATTCTTGCGAATAAATCGAAAAGAAAAATATCCACGCTTTGATTATTTGTGAGAGAATATATATTAAATTCCACGCTTTAATTTTTCTTAAAAAATCCGTGCCTTGATAATTTTCCTTAAAAATAATTATTAAAGATATTCCTTAAAAATATGTTCTGCTAGAATATTTAATGATGAACACCCTATTCGATGCCTCTGTCAAGCTATTGAGTGATGACCCAAGCTAAGACCCCAACATGGTCATGATATCGTTATACTTGATACGATATTAATAAATTGAGTCGTTTATTTTTAAAGTTTTAGGTTCTGATACAAAACTTGATTTTCTAGAAAAGTTTACAAAACATATCACGTTATGTGTTCTATCATGTTTAATTTTTTAAAATATTTCTACATAAGAAATAATGGACTTAAAACACTTTCAAAATAAACGGCTCATATCGTAAACACGAAGCTACAAATCTTTATATTCATATTGGCCGATGACTTGGCTTTGAATGGCGATCTGAAATCCTTATACACACATTCGGTTTCTGTACAAACATAAATAAAATCCTTTAAAAATTCAACATCAATTGCTGTACAAAAAGTTTCTCCCTTTCATTAAAAAATTCAAATGTCTAAATGACCCTTAATCATAAAAGAACAGCTGTTCCGCTGTCAAACGTCAATGTCATACCTCTTTTACCCACATCATTCGTAAACAATTCAGCTTTAGTCTCCATCCCACCTCATTCGTAACTTTCTGTTCTCCACTTTGGTTTCTTCTTTATCGGGCGTTTTGTCTTTTCCTCCCATTCGTCATTGTGAATGACGTTTTCACAATTGACAGCGACCAACCAACAAAAGAAATCGAAAGGATTGTTTCCAGATTCTATTGAAAAAATTAAAATTACACAAAATAAACATTAAAAGCAATTCCCACAACAACAATGACTTCACGTAAACGCAGTGGTAGTGGTTCCTCAAAAAGACCCAAAGAAAAAGTTGTCTATATCTATGAGCTGTTCTTTCGTGGTGAAGATCCTAGTCAAGAACGTCGTCCTGAATATTCCGAGTTTTGGAATGAATTCTTTCTGCTGCAACCAAATGTTGAAGCATTGGAGGGTGAAATTACCAAGCTGACAAGTGAACAATTCGCTTTGGTTAAGCCCAATTTAAATATGATTTTCCAGAAATGTATAGAAATGTTGGATACCGGTGAGTAGAGGAGGAGGTGACAATAACACAAAATTCATGCTGTGTTGTTGTGTGGACACAAGATTTTGTAAAGCAACAGGGTGTGGCTTATTTATTAATAATTATTCTTTTATTTATTTATTATATAGATCATCCGAAACGTTTGTGCAATAGCCTTCAAACACTGTGCTCCATGTTCTATGGCATATTTAAAAAATCGACTGCAGATACCTCATATGATATACTGAATGATATATTCGGTTATGAACATATGGACAAATGGATGAAACAATTAATGGATCATTGTAATCGTATACTTTTAGGTGAGTTGTTATGGAAATATTTAGTGTTAATAATATTGGAATATAGTTCCATGTAGGATTTTAGATATTTTCCATAAACTGCAAAGAGGCAGTGGAATGTGTTTATTTTGTCTTCGAGATTCTAGGGGACTATCAAGCCACCATTTCTATGTTAATTTTCAAGTAAATTTGGAAGTCTGCATGGGATAAAAAAATGTATTTATTTATTCCCTACTTGTGCCTCCTATTATTATTAATTTAGAATCTGAATTGCTCTAAATGAGAAATTTAATTATCCGATCAAACCTTTACAACAACATGAACGATTTTGAACTGACTATATCTTGACGAGACCTAATTTCCCTTCAAAGTCAATTGTTCTTGCAAATGAGAGTGAGGAGCTTTGTCGTTCTAACACGGCAGATCCTCAAGCTGAAGGTCAGCAGATGTCAGTAGAGTTAGAGCAACATTGGGCTCGTTG